ATCATGTCATCGCGGAATCCCACGCCTATTCTCTTTGTACATCCAAATTAACGTGAAACTGAGAGCATGTGCACGAGCGCAAAACCCCTCCCTCCCTCCTCCCTCGTATGAATATGCTAATGACTCAGCTTTGGCAAAACCAAACGAAAAAGCAATGGCAAAAGCAAGCAAAAAGAGAAACTTTGAACAGAATGGGAATTGGAGGTGTGCCTATCAGAGGTAGACCGGATAAAAAGTGTTATTTGCAAGTTTGTCGTTGGAATGAACTAGTTGATTGATTTCCGCCCATTTGATCGACAGAGACAACAAAGCTAAAGAGAGCGCTCATCAACAGAGTGAGTGGCGTAGCTCGTTAAGCGCTGGGCAACATGTTTTGACACTGTCAGTCAAGAACCCAGTTCGAATCCAGCCTCTAATTGAACTCATTCTTCTTTTCCCCACTACATATCAGATTTTGCCTACTCTTCATCACAAGAAACACAAGAAGGAATCATTGTGTGTATTATGTTTAGCGCATTTGAGCATCACATATTATTTGCACATTTATTGAATGGAAATGTTTCTGATTCACGTATACAAATTTGTCTTCAGATGGCACCTTTATTGCAATGTGCATGCAGTCGATCACTCCGATTACATTGGGAAAACCGGCGATCACTGCAAGTTGAGGTTTAATGTTTGACTGGTCAACTGCATGGTATGGAAACCTTATATACCTGCTAGACATACGGATGATCTTGTCCCATACAGCTGCCATTGCACGGCTCAAAGATACTTTGTAGAGTGCAATTTAACACAATTGCCTCTAGGAGTCGCAAATGGAAAAAAACAAGCATACACAAGAAATGCACGCACGCCAGGCATGAAGTTGCCATGGACCAACACACATTCTCACATTTATTTCATAGTTAGTACATCCAAACTTGAGCGTGAAACCTGGCGTACGCAAAGTTTTTGGTGCGTACACAGCGTTGATACATGAGGCCCCAGGACTGCACAATATTGGAAAAAAACTGTAAAATAACACTGTGTATAGTCTAAATTGTACAAATGATTAAACACAATGTATAATGCTTTATAATTTATTGTACCCAAATGGTTGAAAATAGTCACAGACTTTAAAAAAACACTTGCAAATAGAGATCTTTCACTCTCCTAGATTAGGGTTTAAATTAACTTCGGTAGTGACTCAACAAATTCTGAACTGTGGTTCCTTTATAATAATAATCCCAATTTGCATTGCAGATCCTGTGATGTGACTATTGCGTATATTTGTAAGTATGCACACTAAGCATGGGAAGATAATCGGTTTCAGGGTTTACTGTGGTTTGGAAAAGTCAAGGTTTTAAAACCTCAAAATTTTATGTTAGACCATTCCCAAAGTATATGTAAGGGTTTTTTATGTGTTTCTATGAGTTGTAAAGAAATCTGTGTTATTGAAGCTAATGAAGAGAGAAGATGTTAATGATTTATCTTAATTATTTAGCCTTACATGTTTACTGTTTCAAAATATTATACATTTTTTCTAAAATAAAATATATTGTGTTCAATAGGGAATTTTTTTTTACCCAGACATTTAAAAAAAACTAATTTTAGAGCAGTAATCACAATACTGTGATACTGTAAAACCGTGATATTTTAATCCAAGTTTATCATACGGTCAGAGATACCAGCTAGGGTTGGGCAATGTCGACCATTTTGGCATCGTACAATGTCTGATGTGAAGCGATGACATCGCGACATGGGCAGCAGTGAATTAACTATTTATGAATAATTAATTAATTCATAACAAATTAGTTATTTGAAGCCTACCGTTTCAACAACCTGTGCCGCATGGTCTTTGTTTTACCCATAACCAAATCATAAATAAATAAACATGAGTTACACACAAATTACCACCTGTCAATCACTTTTTCCACGGGACCCTGACAAGAAAAGGCAGACTGATCTTTGTCGTTATAATGGCGTTGAAAAACTTGGTTGGTAAAAAAGTACAAGCAACAAAAGCCAACCAAAAGTATCGGAGGTTTTTGCTGAAATTACTAAGTATATGCATGAAAGCGAAAGATTGAAGCCGTATACTGACGCTGTGGGACATTACCTGATAGATTCAAATAACTGAAGAGTAGTGAAATAGAGACAAGATTAATTTAATATCACGTTTAACAACTATAGTAAGACGTGATCCAGTTTTGAGTCGTATAATGTGGATGGAGGGCTGTTCAGAAATGCTAGGTAAAATGCTAGTGTGGATGTGAAATAAGATTTTAAAACTAGGACGAGTTAGTTTAAACGGGGCCTAAGTGTGTATTTTTCATGAGCTGGTTTTTGACTGGATGGGGCAGATGATCGCGATGCCGGCTCAGCATCTTAATGTCTTTCAGCGATGGACGATGCCGTCATCAATAGACCCTGCCCTAATACCAGCCCATGTCTAATGCACACTGCAGTTTCGATGCTGAACCAATGTATTGTGCAGGCAATTGGAATTTGTTGCGGGTTCAAGTTTCCCAGAATACTTACCCAATACTTCCTGCAGCTTTTATACTTCATGAAGTAAGCAGAACACATGTTTTTATCATAGTTGTATGCATCCAAACATCTTTGAGAATTATCACTCTCCTATAACAATGCACATACACAGAGGACAAAAAAATTAGATCAGACATTTTGCATGCAGCACATTTTATAAAACTGTTAAAAACTTTAACACTATGCAGCAATAAATGCAATTTGTACAGTATGAAAACTAAAATGCATTCACATAAAATAAACATTCATATTTAGTTTGTATGTTAAAAATAACCTGATATAACATTAACCACAGAAGACTGACTGACTGACCTCAATGCATGGGTTGCTATCCGCATTCCGAACTTTCTGTGCACTTGATTTGTTAGCCATCATCCACCGACTGCATCTGTGTCACAGCTAGAATGGCAGAGAGCTCCAATTACACAAGGAACTGAGGGTGGGCATTTTTGTATGTTTTTGTTTTTGAGGGCTTGATAGAACAGTAAAACAATTACTACTGGGTGTGTAGCACACAACAGAAATGGCCCCTAGAATCACTTGACTGCGTCATCTCTGTGTGTCAAGGCAAAACATCTGAAATGGCAGCAGTTTCTAAATGATTCAGCTAAATCTATTAGTAATTATGACATTTAACTTAGCATTTTAAGTAAACATGCAAAACTCGCAACATGATTTTAGACAGAAATATTGTCTGAGTTCTGTCTGTGTCAACTTCAAAGTTGAGTAACATATTAAGAAACTAAGCTTATTTTCAGTAATATTATATTCTGACAAGACTGACATCTACATAGAATGCATTTAATGAAGTTAGTTGTGACAAAATATTTTTAAACTTATTTAGATATAAAAGAGCATTTTAGTTAATGTACTAAAATAACTTACTAACTAATATATACTAACTATATGTATTATATATATGAAAATATAAAACCAACTTTACCTCTATTACATATATAAGGTGATGCAGTAGCGCAGAAGGTAGTGCTGTCGCCTCACAGCAAGAAGGTCGCTGGTTCAAGCTTCGGCTAGTTCAGTTGGCGTTTCTGTGTGAAGTTTGCATGTTCCCTAAACCGCCTAGTTAACCTAATTAACATAGATACGCCTTTAAATGTCACTTTAAGCTGTATAGAAGTGTCTTGAAAAATATCTAGTAAAATATTATTACTGTCATCATGGCAAAGATAAAATAAATCAGTTATTAGCAATGAGTTATTAAAACTATTATGTTTAAAAATACGTTTAAAAAAATCTTCTCTCCGTTAAATAAAAAAAAACTGCGCATGCCCTTCCAGCCACAACCCATCTCTAGGAATCATCCACACACATTCACACATTTATACAGCCTACCCAATTCACCTGTACCGCATGTCTTTGGACTGTAGGGGAAACCGGAGCACCCGGAGGAAACCCACGCGAAGGCAGGGATAACATACAAACTCCACACAGAAACGCCGACTGAGCCGAGGTTCGAACCAGCGACCTTCTTGCTGTGAGGCGACAGCACTACCAACTGCGCCACTGCCTCTATATATGTATAACAATTGTAATAAACATGCCAACTATGAAGGTCAAATACAAATACACCACAGGCATCATCACATTTCTTAGGATGGAACGATACATTTTATAGTAAGTATTATACATTTAACAACGCAAACATTAGCCATTTATTATTTATGTATCTGATACTATACGCACCAATCCAGTCATCGAATTCAGATTCTTTACGATCTTTACCAAATCTAAGTGATAAACTTTGCAGGTGCTACACTCGCTCAGCAAACGGCTAGATTTTACGTGAATTAAATCACTTCACATCAAAACACGAGTTCCAGTAGGCACAGAAACACACGTCTCACTGACCTCGCTCAGCCATTCAAACTATTGGGCAGAAGACCGGTGCCACTTTTGCTAAGCTCAGTATAATGTATTATTTCTTCAAGCGCTCTCAACAAAATACAACACAACAGAACACGTTTAATAACAAAACACAAATTGGCAGAGCTTGCCACTGAACAATAGTTTTCATGTTGCAAGTATTACCTTTTGCGAGCAGCACAGCACTCAACCTTCTTATGTCATGACAGAACAGAACGTATGTCACAACACAACGAAACCTAACTTTTTGCTGATGAGTGACAGGCGCCGATGGCCAATCGGTCTGCAAGTCAGAGTGCGTCACCGGTAAGTGTCGGATGAATTGTCACTTCCTTCAGCCAATGGAATAAGAATAGTAACATTTTGGCCCGCCTATTAACTTGACAGATATTAAACGATGTCGTGCCGATTGACAGAATCACTGACGAGTCTTAAATTGGAGATTTTCCGAAAGAGTAATGCAGTGGCAGTAAAATCTGAAAATGACAGTTTATTACACAAATCGCAAGAGCGAGGAAGAAGCGTTCCGTGGTGGGCGTGGCTAACTCATAGTTTGGTTGCATCGCAGCGCATACACAATGGCTGCTGGAAAGAGGGGAAAGCAAACAATTTTTAGGCCCGCCGCGTCCAGCAAAAAATATGAGAAAAAAATTATTAAAAATCCGGGAAATAGTTGAAAGTCAAGAAAAATACCGTAGAAAGGATGTTAACGCACCCGCGGTAAGTTTTACGCATTTTACGAAAATTGTTACGCTGTGCTTTAATTAAAATATCGGGGTTATTCAAATTATGAGAGAGGGGTGAGCTAGAGAAAAAAAAAGTTGTGTTAATCAGCACCAGTTTGCAACTTGGGAGAAAAGCGACGAAATATTGGACTCTATAGAAAATGTAACTTAATTCTGTCATTTGTTTCTGTCAAGTCACGTTGCGCGCAGACGAATGTCAATAAACAGAGAAACGCGTGTAGTTGTCGAAAAGTTGAAAAAAAGTTTTTTAGAAAATATTTTAAGATTATTCTTTCAAAATATGAGGAGTTCGGCCGTAGCCGCAGCAAACTCACTCGCATTTAAATAATACAGAATACACGCTGCATATATGGTGCGAAAGTTTTGACACAAACATGCACGCAAACACGGAGTTAGTGATAGAAGAACCCTTCCATGTCCGCAATCTCAGTTAAACGCACAATTTAATACATTAACTGTTTCACTTTATTCGACTTTCACATAATTTACTAAGTTAGCCTTTTCGGATTCACGTTCAGTATACGGCATTAGGGGTGTCAGTGAGTCACACTAAGTTGCACTGTGGGTCATTATAGGAAGAGAAAGCTGCTTGTCAATATCACAAACAACCAAAATGGTGGGAGAAGTGAAGGGGGACTAATTAGGACATGCTGAGCTGAGCTCTTGAATGTTTATCTGTCCAGATTCGACTACGAGAAAAAAAGAAATCCTTAGGATGAGGGATTGATGAAGTTCCACTGAAAATAACCCCCCCCCCCCTAAACAGAAAGTTTGATTAAACTAAGGATATCGAGAATTCCTTAATAATATGAGTGTTGGGTGCTGTATGGCGCGGGTGTGGTGTGTTTTTGCAGAATGTCCGTAGATTTATTGTATAGCTTTCAATCAAATAACTGTCATATGTAACTTGTGCATGTGATGGCGCTGGTGTGAGAACACATGCAGGAGCATCAGCGGCAATGTGGGAACTCGAAATAAAAGTATACATTGTTTATGTGTAACTGGTTAAATGTGTATGTGATGTGTGCGTGTGCCCACGAGCGCGCGCAACAAGAGAGTTTTTGCATGTGTGCATACACGTCTTTTGAATAGCCTAGATAGCAAAAAAAAAGTGGAAAACCTGCGACAATAACAACACTATAACAAGTTGATATTACAGCGATATTACATTAAAATAAACGTTAATATTATATTACCCATTTTTTCTTGTGGATGGAAGGGCTGATTTCTCTTTAAGGGGTTTGAGAGCCTCAATTCTTTTCTCCTCTGTGATTTTTGAGTTGAACGGGGTCATCGGGTTTACTGCGCAGTTACAGCGCTTCTGTTCCTGGTTTTAAAGTGAGTGGGAAACGTCCAGTCTAAAACTCCTCAAAACACGAAATATTCTGTATCTTTCTGTTTTTAGAGGTACGAATTGCATTAATTTGTTTAGCAGGAAATATTTTGCGCTTTATCATGCACTTTGTCAAATGTGCATTTTCAGCACCTCATAAAGTTTGTCTTAGTCTAGTCAGAGAGGTGCAGTGATAGTAAGTCTATTAAAGTATTATACAATCGTTATAAAAGTAATAGCGTACTATTGTAAGATACAATTTGAAGAACTAAAATATAGGCTTTTATAAAATATAAGGTGTTTCATTAAAGTAGATTTTTAATGTTTTATTTTTGCTTGCTAAATGTAACTTTAAATGTTTTATTTGTATTTCATATTGAAAGTAAGGTTTAAAAACTTCTGTCACAAACTCACAATTGCTTAAGTTAATAAAGTTTTTACGTGCTATTTTAATTTATCAGAATATGTGTAACTGTTGGAACTTTGTAGACATCCATAATATTTAGTTGTTCTTGTTGTTTTTGTTGAGATAAAATAGAAAACATGTTTTTTTAAAAGACCTTATTTTTTGTTCTGCATTTTCACATAATATATTGGAAAGAGTTGGACATAGAATTTTAGGTTCGTTGTGGTAAAGTTTTAGATGTTTATGCCTATATTATGTGTTTATGCTGTTTAATTCGTACATGTTTTGGTAAAAAATTTTATATAAAATATGTTCCTTTCATAAAAGGGAATAATACATTTTAAGTTTAAAGATGGGATACAAGAAAGTTTTATTTATAAAAAAATGTTTTAATGTTTGAAGCATTCACTGTAAAAAAAGTTAAAAAATTTTTTTTTGGTTTTCTAAAGATTCTTTCAATGACCAAGTCTTAAAAACAATTTTGGAGTAAATATTAAAGAATGTAACTATTACAATCTAAAAAATAAATGCATAAATCAACTTTCTCCGTCAAAGAAAGACAGAAAAGTTCTTTGCAAAACTATTACAATACAACCTTTATTTTTTTAATATTGTTGCATTGTAGACTCAAATCCGGCAGACAAGAAGTGTAAAAGATCACTTTGATTAAATAAAACACTTATATTTAAAGTAATACTTATATTTAATGATAATTTATAGCTCTAAATTATTTTCATTTCCTTGAAATTACACAAAGTCCCTTGAAGTTTTCAGATTCTGATGAAATAATATAGCAAAGACACACAAGGAATGAATTAAGTGAGAAGTTTGTATAGCATTGAAAAACACAGAAGATAGCCAATCAAACTCTCGTGGGTTTCCTCCGGGTTCTCCGGTTTCCCCCACAGTCTAAAGACATGCGGTACAGGTGAATTGGGTAAGCTAAATTCTCCTTAGTTAATGTGTGTGTGGATGTTTCCCAGAGATAGGTTGCGGCTGGAACGGCATCCGCTGCGTAAAAATGTGCTGGATAAGTTGGCGGTTCATTCCGCTGTGACGACCGGGGATTAATAAAGGGACTAAGCCGAAAAGAAAATGAATGAATGAATTTTAATATCGAAAAATGGGTAATATAATGCTTGGTCATCATTCATTCAATTTAAATTAAACAACTTACTTCTGACCTGTACTTATTCAAATGTATAAAATAATAAGTAATAATACTATATATATATATATATATATATATATATATATATATATATATATATATATATATATATATATATATATATATATATATATATATAGGTACATTTATTAAAACCTTATTACTGTGGAATGGGTAAGACATGAAATATGTGCCTTGTTAAATAAAATTAAATTAAAATAAAATGCCTTAATATATTATTTTATCATGGCATAAGATTTAGTTTGTTCTTAACATATCTGACAAGAATTTTGTTACACTAAATTAGTTTTAGTTTGTGTCTTCTAAAAATCTTTTTATAGTCATTGTTTAGCTTTAAAATAAATAAACAGGGCTATTGAAATGTGTGTAATGTAGTATAAAATTTAAAACTGTATTATTATTATTTGGTACTTAAAACTCCTTTTTATGTCTTTAAGGAACAATACTCAATTTGAACTAGTTTCGTATTAGCTGAGATGTTACTATGTATTACAGTTTATCTCAGTCGCTTTGGTGCATTTCTAACAACACTATACATTTGCACAACAGGTAATGCATTTCTCAAAACAATTAGTCATTTGTGCACATCCTAGTTACAGTTGCTCATTCCTTCCAACAAATTGTGAATGCTATTGGACATGCATCTATTGCTTTCATACAACTCTCTGCTGTTTTATAACATTATCATTTGCTTATGTCATGTCAGTCAAAATGAACTAAACTTGTGAATGCTAAATAGTCATTCCATAAAAAACTAATAGTCCTCATTTCATTACTTGAGTAATTACATACAAAAATGTTGTCAAAATCTGTCTAGAAAATTTTATTTAAAAAATTAAATCTTTATTTTCCTGAAAATGTCTTCAAAATTGAACAGTTTCATGAATGATTTACAGACCTGTGTATGTTGTAGGTTCAGTTCCAATATGTATTGCAATATTGTTTACAGTTGTGCTCAGCTCTACCCAAATGTGGTTTATGTTTGTTGCAAATTAGGGTGTATTTATTCTTTTACACAATGCTGTGAATAAATTAGGATTGTAAAGAGCATCTGCAGTAAAAAAATGTGAAAAATACATTTTCAGTGTCTTGTACTCACTTCACTGACTCTGTCATTGACATCAATACTTGCTTTTGAGGAATGAACTATCCACTTTGAGCTAGTGAGACGCTTTTGCAGGTTATCAGCTAGGTTTTGCAGTTTGTACTAATTGTTTTGAGAAATGCATTAAAGAAAATGCAGAAATGCACTTGTGTTGTGAGAAATGCAACAAAGCGACTGAGAAAAACTGTAATACTTATAAAGCACATATTGATGCCTTATTCTGCATGACTTCCACAACTTAACAAGCCCTATATTAGATTGAGTCAAAAGTCAATAATAGTGAATATGTGTTCCTTATACCACTACTATATACTGAGTTATACGCTATGTACTACATAGTGGAAGTCAGAATTATTAGCCCCCCTGTTTATTTTTCCCCCCACTTTCTGTGTTATGATTAAAATATTTTTTCAACACATTTCAAAACATAATAGTTTTAATAACTCATTTCTAAAAACTAATTTATTTTATCTTTGTCATGATGACAGTAAATAATATTTGACTAGATGTTTTTAAAGATACTATTCAGCTTAAAGTGCAATTTAAAGGCTTAACTAGGTTAATTAGGTTAACCAGGCAGGTTATGGTAGATTGGCAAATCATTGTATTGGCTGTTTTCACATGACATCATTGATGACACGCAAGACTCAAATGGAGAGCAAATGAAGAGTGTTATTAGAACATCAAAATGTTTCTGTTTTATGTTGTTAATATTTGTTTAAATTGCCCAGTATAAGAAATGCAGAACAGCTTTTATAGACGTCCAAATGTTTTTGCTTATAAAGGGGGAAAGTTCAAGAAACAGGCTGAAAAATGGAAGAAAAGACAGCATGTAATAAACAAACATTCAATACAACCATGTGTACAATTTTTTTTAACACAATAACAGCTTTGACAGCACCAGTAACGATTATATACAGGCTTAGCTATGTATATAAATATGTTAATGTGTTATATAAAAATCAGATACAAACATTCATTCATTCATTCATTCATTTTCTTGTCGGCTTAGTCCCTTTATTAATCCGGGGTTGCCACAGTGGAATAAACCGCCAACTTATCCACATCCACAGCACATTTTTACGCAGCGGATGCCCTTCCAGCCGCAACCCATCTCTGAGAAACATCCACACACACATTCACACACACACTCATACACTACGGACAATTTAGCCTAACCAATTCACCTGTACTGTATGTCTTGGACTGTGGGGGAAACCGAAGCACCTGGAGGAAACCCACGCGAATGCAAGGAGAACATGCAAACTCCACACAGAAACACCAACTGAGCCAAGAATCGAACCAGCGACCTTTTTGCTGTGAGGTGACAGTACTACCTACTGTGCCACTGCATCGCCCTGATACAAACACCAAAACACTAATACAAAATCATACCCCACCATGTAAACGATGTAATGAAATCTCTTGACTTGTTTTGCAATAATCCAAGTCTTTACTGGCGTTTCGGAAGAATAAACAACCGTATTGTTAACGTAGAGATGTGCAGCAGCTGTGAGTGCAAACATTGTGACAAAACTAGACAGTTTTTATTGTGGAGCACTTTTCCCCCGTACAAAAATAAATAAACAAAGAATAATGTAGACTATGCGTCCATGCTTTTGTATGCTTTCATATTTTGTGATGTCTGAAAGATATCCGCATGGGGAAAAACTTTAGTAATTTATAATAAACATGTTTTTAAACCACATAATAAAGTGTTTAATTTGTACAACTCTTTGTTAATAAATGCTACAGAATTCTGTAGCATAGTAAATTGAAAAAACTAACAAATACTGTGAAGTTAGTGTAAACTGAGGTGCGTTGTGATTGTGTATAATTATTGAAGCCCACTGAATAATTTGTTTATTACTAACAGTTGCATCGTAACACAACAACAATATAATTACTAGTTTATTTCAAGTAATTATCAATAGTATACGTTATAGCTTATACAGTATTAGCTTATAGCTTATACTACCGGCACATTGACAGGCAAATATATTTTAGTTCAGTAGAAAACACGACCCTCTTCATGATATAAGGATTATGCCCAACATACGTGATTACTTTTTTAATTATATCTCCTTTGTAATATGGTATAAATCACAAAAATACTGACTTTCCTCTGTGTCTCCCATTCAGTTTATCAGACAATCGAAAACAAATATTGCTTAAAGGGGCTAATCATTTTGACCTTAAAATGGTGTTTAAAAAAATAAAAGCTGCTTTTATCCTAACCGAAATAAAACAAGTAAGAGTTTCTTGAAAAGAAAACATATTATCAGACATACTGTGAAAATTTTCTTGCTCTTGTAAACATCATTTGGGAACTATTAAAAAAAGAAAAAAATGAAAGGGCTAATAAATCTGACTTCATCTGTATCATGTTTTTTTTTTAGCTTCAGTAAAATTTAAGCTGTAAAAGATACATTAGTTATTTTTTGGTGATGCTCAGAAACAACACAATCCACAGTTTTCATATCTTTTTCTTAGGGCCTTATGTCTCTGCTGTGTTGAAGATTTGGGCTTTCTCGCACTCTCTGTGCTGGGACGTATCATTCGTGTCCACCACATGGCTTGCTATCGCTAAGTTGCCATGGCAACAGTATCTCCAAAAGACTGCCCCACTGTGGCAGATCACTGTCGGGTGAGGAAAAGGAGAGAGGAGGGGAAAGTGAGGAAGAACTTCTCCTGTCAGTTGTGCGAGAAGGCCTTCAACAGCTTGGAGAAGTTGAAGGTGCATTCATACTCTCACACAGGGGAAAGACCGTATCACTGCACACACACTGACTGCACCAAGGCCTTCGTCTCTAAGTATAAACTCCTACGGTAAGTACCATTAGTCTCAAAACTAGAATTTCATGGGCGTCCACGTATCATGCAAATCTACAATTTCTGTTTCATTTCAAAATGTAATGGTATTTTGTGGACTACTCAGCTAATACCATTGTTAACAGTCGATTGATTGGGTGTTATCAGTGGTTATCTGCTGATATTGGCCGGTAGGGGCCTTCTGAGCCTTCTAGTAGGCTCAGAAGGCTGTTATCATCCATCCACATGCTTTTTCAGATATAGATCACATACAGCTGTACATGACTAGAAGTTAACAAGAATTACTTATAATATTTATTAAATTTCCCATTAATTGTATTTTATTAACGTCTACCCCAACCCTAAAACCAACCGTCACAGTAATGTAAAAACAGATCTGGATCTGGAGTCTTCTCTATTAGTATAGCTGATTAACCATGAAAATTATTTATATTATTTATTAAATTTACCATTAATTGTATTTTATTAATATCTACCTCAACCCTAAACACAACCGCCACAGTATTGTAAAAACAGATCTGGAACTGGATTCTACTCTATTAATATTGCTGATTAACCATGTAGAGGGATGATAACAGCCTTCTGAGCTTAACAGTACTGATCCATATCCATCAGCAGATGACCACTGATAATGCCTTTTCAATCTAGTGATAACTTTTGAAGCAAATTAACTTATTACTGTATTTTGATAGTCACATTAGACAATGGGCACTTAACATTTCTGTGGATGACGCAATGGTCATACTATGATATCACATTTTCTTGCCTTTTTTTAAAAACGCAGTTTAACGTGCAAAACAATATGTAATTAAACCCTAATTCTAACCTACCCCTATTTTAAGAGAGAAATAGTTGATGTTGAACTACAGTTGTTATTACCCAAACTATGTTTTACTGGTAGCATCTTTAAACATTTTACACTGTATTGTGTTTTAAGCCCAGGACACACTAAGCTGATGTTAAAACTACAGTATATGGCAGTTACATACAAAATTCTGGACATTACAAATCCTGTTTGTCGGACGGTCCTCCTATAGGGGCACAGAAATAACAATTTCACAAGTGGAACCCGCTTAAAGGTTTAGGTTATAACCTAATGTAGTGGTAACAAATTCTGTTCCTGTAGCATGGCAAAATCAAATCAAGCAAGAAAGGGGCCTCATGTATCAACGCTGCGTTTGCACAAAAACTTTGCATACGCCAGATTTCACGCTCACGTTTGGCTTAACTAACGATAAAATGAATGTAAGAATGTGCTTTGGCCCACGAAAACTTCATGTCTGGCGTACGTGCATTTCTGTGTGTTTGTTTTATTTCCATTGGTGACTCCTAGAGGCAATTGTGTTAAGTTGCACAATATAAAGTATATTTGAGCCGTGCAATGGCAGCTGTATGAAACGGGATCATCCGCATGTCTAGCAGGTATATAAGGTTTCAATACCATGCAGTTGACCAGCTAAACATTAAAGTGCAATTTGCAGCGATCGCTGGTTTTCCCAATGTTTTCCCAAAGTCGAAGCGATCGACTGCATGCTCATTGCAATAAAGGCGCCTTTTGTAGACGAATTTGCATACGTGAATCGAAAACATTTCCATTTTATAAATGTTCAAATAAAATGTGCTGCTCAAATGCGCTTAACATAATACACATGCTTATTAATGATTCCTACTTGTCTTCCTGGTGATGAAGAATAGGCAAAATCTGATATGTAGTGGGGGAAAAAGAAGAATGAGTTCATCAGAGGCTGGTTTGCGCACGTGCACTCATTTTTACGTTAATTTGGATGTACAAAGAGAATATGTGTGGAATTCTGCATACGCAGTGTTTCATACATCTGTCTTTTTTACTGCGTACGCACATTTACAGCTTTGTGTGTACGCATTGTTTTAGGATGAATTTAACACAAGTCATTGTACATGAGGCCCCAGATATTTTCAAGCTTGTTGGCCCTTAAAGCAATAGTTTCTGGCATGGTCACCATTTGCTAATTTCTGTTTGTTTCCACAGGCACATGGCCACACACTCACCAGAAAAGACACACAAGTGCAGCTACTGCGAGAAGATGTTCCACCGCAAAGATCACCTAAAGAACCATCTCCATACACACGACCCCAACAAGGAGGCTTTCAGCTGCACTGAATGCGACAAGAGTTACAACACGAAACTGGGTTTTCGAAGACACCAAGCCCTTCATGCTGCGCAGCGTGGAGACCTCACCTGCCAAGTGTGCCTGCAGTCATATCCAAGCACTCCCCTGTTGCTGGAGCACCTACGTGGGCATGCCGGGAAAAGTGCTACTGCAACTAAGGAGAAGCGACATCAGTGTGATCAGTGTGAAAGGCGTTTTTACACCCGTAAGGATGTGCGACGCCACTTAGTTGTGCATACTGGACGCAAAGACTTCCTTTGCCAGTACTGCGCCCAACGATTCGGTCGAAAGGATCATCTAACCCGTCATGTTAAGAAAAGCCATGCTCACGAGCTGCTGAGGGTCAAGGCAGAGCCTGTAGATTTGATGGAATCCCAATCCTTGCCAACATCTGGGCCACTCACTCTAAGGTATCCACTCGCTCATGCCTCCTACTCACCACCGCCACCCTTGAGAGCAGAGCTTGAAAGTTATCTTCTAGAGCTACAGGCTGAAGATACACCCAAGCTGAGTTCTTCCACCACGGTGACCGGAGAGACAACATCATCCCTGGATTTTCTGTCTCCACTGTTTAATTTTCTGCCTTACAACCAAGGGGCGGGGTCTAATTTGGGAGTGACTTACAGCCAGGAGGATGGGATTTTGACCGCTCCCATTCAAGACAGCCCAGAGCCTCTCAACCTCCTTCACACAATCACACACTCACACTCGCTGTCACAATCCAACACACTCTCTCCCAGTTATACACATTCACCGTCTCTGAATACAACCACCACCCTGCCTCGCTTCCACCAAGCCTTCCAGTAACCCAAATACATTCACACACTTACTTAAGTTTTCTCGCACTTTTTAAAGCACTCTAATGTTTATCAACTTAGCCTTTAATACAAAAAGCACAAGTCCCACAAGGCTTGCCAAGGCAACAATCTGCTCCCTCTTGCAAATACTGCATTTAAGTCATACTTGAAGAGATGACAAATGCATTTCTAGTTTTACTTCTTGTCTAGAGGATTTTGAATTACCTCTCCATTAAATAGACGTTTAATAGATCAGAGCTCAGATTGCAGTGAAGTTTTGCTCTTAAAATGCCGACAGAGAAAGCATAGCCTTTAATGTCCTCTCGTTAACACTTTAAACTTATAGCAAGTTCCATCAAAACTTAAAGATATTTTTTTTATGTTGTTTCTTTGTCTGTTGTATGGCTCATGAACTTTTGGGTACTGATATCTACCAGCATTTAGTGACCATGTCACATTTACAGCCAAAGGCAACCAAAACCCTCATAGCTATAGAGAGAAAGGCTCATCTCGTTATGTTTTTTTTTTTTTAATGGCTGTTTGCCTTCATGCTGCTGCTCATTGTAAGAGCCTCAAAGGACACCAGCACAGGAATGCTTCACAGTTCACACCAACAAAGGGAAAGAAGGACGGAGACTCTCTCTCACACATACACTCATATCCCTTTTCTCTCTTACTATATTCAACCTCATCCACCAGAATGCTGGCTGTTGCACTGATCAGAGCTGTCAATCAATGAAAAAAAAACAACAACATTCATTTCAGTTTTGCTGTCTCGGTTTAAGCTTATAGCTTATACTCCAAAAGATGAATGCAATCTGTGACGGACGCTTTCATTCTATTGACTTTTTAATGTATCTGAATATAAGCTGAGGGTGTAATTGATTTTGGAATCAAATCTATAGAAGTTTGTGATCACCATAAAGGTTATTCACACTGACTGTGATTTGCAAAGCAACCAGTTGCCCCATTTATTTTTACTGAGAGCTGGCGTTTGAGGTGCCACAAATGACAAAGACCTCAACCCTTATGCAAATGGCCAGTGACACAATGTGTTGGCTACCAGTGGGAGTCCGCACACATATAAGATCAGACATATGGTGATCAGCATGTGGTCAATCTCCAGCGATGTAATCGCTACCATTGTGAACGTGTCTTCCTCTATAGACATCCTCTAGAGACAGATCTGTGTGTGTGTGTGCTTGCTTATAGATGATTGACAGATTGTTGGTTAAATGTGTGTTATGATGGTTTCTGATTTATTTCCTCAGAAACTGAAGGTTGTTAAAAGCTTAAACATTCAGAATCTCCATTTGGGGCATATGTTTCATAATAGCACTTTCAGAAAATGTCCTTTTGTTTTGTCTTTTTGTGAAAGTAACTGTTATTAATAGTTTAGGTGTCGAATTAGCTTTTAGATGAGTTAAGTATACATACACTATGCTACATGTGTGACATTTTTACAGGTACACTTCATACAGTTTTTTTGTTTAGCTATTGTTGATTTGCTTTATTGCACAAAATATCAAATTGTCAGTGTCTCTCAAATGAGGCTTCAACCAAAAAGAAGAAGAAAAAGGTCAGTTCCAGCAAGATTCCTTTAGAAAGTGCTTAATACATTTAAGGTGTATATCTTATAACTTCAGTATTGACAAAATGTGTAGATCTAGATGGCCAAAATGACCCGCTGCCATGAGGTCATATGAATGAGTGATGTCATTCATTTCTATTGCTGCTGAATCATGGACTTATCCTGTTGATCTATAGGATTACTAGATAAGAGAACTTTATCAATGGGAGCCACAAACTCTCCTGTTCATTGTCATTGGTACAATTACAACACAAGAGTGTGTGTGTGTGACACTCCTGCAATTGATGGATAATGCTGCTAATGGACAGTGTAAAGCCCCTGGTGGTGCAACAGACCTTTTCTCTATTTTGTTTTTTTCTTAACATTTCAAACTGTGTTTTAAAGTAGGTGTGTGTGAGCGTGCATGTGTGTGTCTGACATAGAGAAAGAAAGAGAGCTAAAAAGTAAGTATTGGGTATTGGGGTTACATGAACCATATTGTTAATGTATTTTAATATGGTGCATATGACTCAAACCATTTAGAGAATGGGTATTACCACAGCATGGGTACCATGACGGTACAGACCTATGACATGGATGTATGGAAAAGATAGACAGCATTCCAGCCATAATTATGTATGTTATTGTGTGTGTGTGTGTGTGTGTGTGTGTGTGTGTGTGTGTGTGTGTGTATGTGTGTGTGTGCATGTGTATGTTTTATGTCTCTGTAATGTAATTCTGTGATAATGACCTGCTATTGCTAATCATGTATATTTTACTTTAATGTATTTTACAAACTACTGTTGTACATGTATAGCCTAAGACAGACAGAATACTATATATATCAATGTGTGTGAATGTGTGCATTAAGCATTGTCTCCATCATGAGAAGCTGCTGCCACAGCAGACAATTCATTTGTCTTGAACTGATAACATCATCCAAAGAGAAAGTAATTTATTCACTGACTATTGCCGAGTCAGGTTTGGAAGGAAGGAAGTCAGGCTGTTGGTAGTTGTGCATGTTTCTGATGAGAAAAAACAAAACAAAAAACAAACGTGTGTTTCTGTGTATGTCCAGACGACCTTTGCTGCTATGTGAGGAGAGGAGAAAATTGGTCCAGTGTTAATACTGTCCACAGTACTGAGTGATCAATAAACACAAGAAGGACTCACTTAGTTTGCGTTTGCAGTGTTTGTGTATAAGCTGATGAGTCGAAGACAAAAAGGGATTTGCAAACATGAAAAAAAAATCATTTACTTTAGCTTAAGCAATAAATTCTATAAATTAGAATGAGTCCTGTTTAAAAGAATGACTATCTTATATTTTGACCATGTTATACAGAATACACTCTCACACTCAAGTTTGCCCTTTGTTTGAAAAACAAAGCTTTATATATTGGCATCAGTGGTTCTATAAAGAATATTTAACTTCAAAGGAATTCTAAAATTGGACAGAGCTATAGATTAATTATTGTTAGGAATACCTGCTTGCAAGCCAAAGACTGAAAATTTATTTTTGGAACCAACACTTTCTTTTAGACAGGATTATTTAACGCAAAAACAACCAATTTACACTTTTTAGTGAAATATAGGTGTCCTAATAGTGTTTTTAGCAGTGTGGGACACATATACGACTGTCAACAGCTCAAAAAATGTGTTTTGGTGTTTCGTGACCCTTTAAGAGTGTATACCAAACACATGTGTCATCACATATACAGAACAACAACTTCTTATGATGTTCTAAAATACATTTTTGGACTTTTTGCAGCCTCCAAAATACTAATTCTCTCAAACTGTTTGGGTTTTACCAATTTGTCAGCAGTTTAAAATATAATAAAATCTCTTATTCTTTTATTCATTTTTGTAAAAATGCCATTTAAAACATTAACCCTTTAACTATCCCACCAAGAATATTTTTTTACGATAGTTAACACACTCAATGCATTTTTTTCAACACATTCCATAATTTCTAATATATCAGCCTTTACCAAATGGTTGGTGTGTCGGTTTATGGTAAAAGTACTAAACTTAATGCATTTACTATGAAAAATCTGAAAATATAAAGTGAAAGAATGAAGTATTATTTAAAAATATATATTTAAAATAAAACTGTTTGAAAAATCAATCACTTTTTTAAAGTATGCTATAAAATATTTTAGATTCTCATTTAACATGCTTTCTTGTTTTATTTTACAATAAAACCAAAGTCAAGTGTAGTAGCTGTGTGTGTAAACCAATATTTAAATCTGTCATTCTTTAAATTACTTTAACAGTCATTATTTAAAACAGTAAAAAACATTGTCAGCCGATTGGTTGAGGTGCAAAGATTTAATGTTTGTGTGTTTAATATGCTCTCTACATAATTACATGTATGTAAATTAAATTTGATGCTCACAAATTAACCTTTGACCCAGACAGACAGACGGACGGACGGACGGACGGACGGACGGACGGACGGACGGACAGACAGACAGACAGACAGACAGACAGACAGACAGACAGACAGACAGACAGACAGACAGACAGACAGACAGACAGACAGACAGACAGATAGATAGATAGATAGATAGATAGATAGATAGATAGATAGATAAATATCATTATCATGAGAGTTTTACATTTAGGAGTAAATTCGGAGTGTATTTTATTTAAAGAAAAAGTAAAAATTTTTGTTGTTCCGTAAACTTTGCTTTGCAACTAGTGATGGCGATTTTTTTCAAAGCGAGTCAGTAAACAAAGAATTACCATAACATTCAAGCATAGCTTCATAGCTTCTTAGAAAAATTGCTTAAAGATTAGCCATACAATTAACATTTATACATCATTTCCTCCCTAAAAAATAATCTTTTCTTCTTATTTGAAATGGCAATGCAAACCGGCTGAACAGATCTAATTGACCAACTGTCACTGATGTTCAGAATTATGATGTATAAAAGTATTAGATTGACATATTTTTATTTAATAAGTATTTTTCTATATTTTATTGTAATTCGTTCTAAACATAAAAGCAAGCAGCCCATTTTTTGTCTCAATCATTTCCCAGTTTTACAATAATAGATTACAAAGTCTTATAGGTTTATTTGTGCATTTGTGGTATGTCCAATTCATATCAAATGCAGCATGAGCAACCTTAAGGTAAAAAATATATATTTAACAATTTATCAAACCCTGTCAATAAAGGGATTTCTTTTAATTTTAAACTATTATTTAATGTGAGAACAACTTCTATGTAAAGTTGATACAAAATAATACATTTTAATAAAATAATACATTTTAGAATTAATAATTCTTAAAATTAATATATTTTAATAAAAAATATTTTGGTTGTAATAATAACAATCAAATTATTAACCCTGGTTAATTAATCTTGGTTTAACCAATCTCTATTTGCAGCCCTATTTTTTATTTGCTAAAATGTCCTGCCCATCATCACCAGCCAACCCCTGCGAAATGCTCTCTCTTCCGTTCTTTTTGTTTATTTTTTATTTTTTTATTAACTCAATGCCACAAGAACGAGAGGTATTACATTTCACATAGTTTCTGAAAGAGAAAAAAACACATATGTATATAAAAATAAAGCAAAATTATATTTACATTAAATTAAATGTTTTCAGAGCATTTCATGTTTTCTGTGCTTTTTTGTTTTGTTATGGTTTTAAAAGATTTACATATACTAGTTATTCACAAAATGGGTCAAGTTTGGTTTACAGTGAGCCCACTTTTTTCTTACGTATATGGTATTTTCCTAACAGCATAAACAAATTAAAAATATATTGTCCTTTACAGTTCAAGTTCTCATTATCAGAATAAAACAGTATATCAAATAAACCAATTTTTATCTTATACTCCATTTTTGTTAATAAACAATCTTTTTAAAATATTTTTGAGTAAATACAGTGAAAAAAAACATGCAAACTTGATTCTTTTTCTTAACCACAAAATTCACACATATTTAAAATATTAAGTTCAAATCTTTCTAAAACATGTTTAGCTGGATAAATTATATGGAGTATTTTGTACGACACTTCTTTAATTTTGTGATTTAAGCAAAACTTATTTGTCAACTTCCAACGTTTAACTCAAGAAATATTATCAAATAATGAAAGCCAAAAATGTCTTGCCAACGAAGGGAGAGCATTTCTCTTCCGTTCTGGCTGAAGGGTTGACGTGATGTTGTTGTCACGCAGTACCCGGATGAATTCATATAAATGCACGAGCAGGCCCTTTATCCCTCCTCTTTAGCAGAAGCACAGTGAGCTCGCGTGGTTCCTGGCTCACCGCTGTTCGCCTTTCAGCTGTTGATACGAATAAGTCGGTCAGGAATTTGCAGTCATGGTAATTTAACGTTTTATCAAACATTGTATTAACAAAGTTTAGCGTTTTGGGTGATTTTCTCCGTCTATTTAATAACCGATTTCGCGAACGCGCGACAGAAGCTTTGTGATGGCATGTGTTTCACAAAGTCTGCCAGTTAGCTAAAAGAACATTATTTTATTAAAAAAAACATGCAAGTTGCTTTATTATTATTTTATGTTTGTCAATGATCTCCGACTTTAATGTGTTGACGATTTACGTTTGTCCAAATTTGAGTTCTACTATTCTCTGAATGTAAACGTTATAACGAAGGTCTAAAACATGATAATGGAAGCTCTTGATATAAGCGTAATGTGCTTAAACTAAGCCATGAAGTGACAAATTAAAGTAATGAACGTATTCGAAAACGCGGGGCTTGCTTTCACTGTCTACGGAAACAGTGGAGCACGATCATGTCAAAATAAGAGTCTCAGTCGTTTGAGCTTTTGTACCGTTAAAGTGTTCATATGCATGACGTCTTTGCACAAGTTCGCTGTATTTGGCGAACAGTTAACTTCATGGCTAAACCAACGAACCAACATTAGTAAATAAATAAAAAAAATAATTTGATGTGGTGCTTTTCAAGAGAAATTAAATATACAGAAATTAAATAAAAATTTACTTTAAAGTGGTTTAAAACGTTTATTTTGCTTCGCTGACCACTAAAAATTATTTTAAAGACCGTTGGAAAGTGTTATCTGTAGACTTATGCAGTAGATCAGTGGCATAGAGGTGAAATTGGTTTTATATTCGGATATTCCGACATTCTCCTTAACAATTTAAGAAAAGTATTTGCAAATTCTAAATAGTGAAATCATATAAGCAGCCAATAGCCCCTTTCACACAGTGATACCGGTAAATATCCGGAAAGTTTCCGGAACGACTTTACCGGTATATTCAAAAAAGCGCTGTTCACACAGGCGAGGACGTTACGGAATTTTTCCGGAAAAGAGCGTTCACACATCCATTCCAAAATACCGGTAAATTCTGACATCATTCACCACAAATGAGCTTTAAACGGCTACGCTTGTATTTGTAAACATTTGCCTAAATTACAAACTCTGTGGATGATCAATATTGTGAACAACTTTCGCAGGATCACTTTCGCATGTCGAGATGTTCATAATATGTGCGTGTGCTGGCGCTCACAGGCACACGCAAAGCTTGAAGGTAAACAAACAACGGCTTATCATAAGCATCTCATCGATGATTATTTACACAGTTGGCATAAAGAAGAACATATAAACGTGATCTGACTAACTTCTAGCAGCTAAATGTGTCTGAAAAAATATTCAAAGGTTTTTATTCTCACAAACCGCGCGGACGTAAATGCGTCTGACTGTTGTAATTGGCTAAAGCAGATGTCTCACGTCAGCACGTTCTAGACGTGCACGCGCTTATTACGGTAATCTTCCTTTTGCGTTCACACAGCGCAGCATTCCGGCAAATTGCCGGTAATGTTACAGCTTCTCTTTCCGGAAAATAGCCAGAACGAATTTACCGGTATTTTCAAAAAGGACCTGTTCACACATACAACGGAAAGGTCTGTATGTGTGAAAGGGGCTAATGACTATTTAAGTACAACATTGTTCACAGTCAATTAGACAATAGCCCCTTTCACACATACAGACCTTTCCGGAAAATTACCGGCAATTTTCCGGAAAGGTTGTATGTGTGAACAGGCCCTTTTGAAAATACCGGTAAATTCGTTCTGGCTATTTTCCAGAAAGAGAAGTTGTAACATTATCGGTAATTTGCCGGAATGCTGCGCTGTGTGAATGCAGAAGGAAGATTGCCGTAATAAGCACGTCCACGTCTAGAACGTACTGACGTGAGACACCTGCTTTAGCCAGTCAGAACAGTCAGACGCATTCACGTGCGCGCGGTTTATGAGAATAAAAGCCTTTGAATATTTTTTCCAGACACCTTTAGCTGCTAGATGTTAGTCAGATAATGTTTCTGTTCCTTCTTAATGCTGTGTAAAAAATTATCGATAAAATGTTTATGATAATTCGTTGTTTACCTTTAAGCTTTGCGTGTGCCCGTGAGCGCCCATAGCGCCAGCACACACGCATATCATGAACATCTCGACATGCGAAAGTGTTTCCCTATGTTTTCATTAGAGTTGTACTCAATACTGATCCATCCGAAGAGTTTGTAATGTAGTCAAATGTTTACAAACACAAGCGCAGCCGTTTAGAGGTCATTTCTGGTTATTGATGTCAGAATTTACCGGCATTTTGCGATGGATGTGTGAATGCTCTTTTCCGGAAAAATTCCGTAACGTCCTCGTCTGTGTGAACCGCGTTTTTTTTTAATATATTCTGGTAAAGTAGTTCCGGAAATTTTCCGGATATTTACCGGTATCGCTGTGTGAAAGGGGCTTTTGTTAATGTTGTTTTGAAGTCATCCTTGCATGCTAATTCTGATTGAATATTCAGAGTAACATGGTAAACAATATAGATACTTCTAATTGAATGAATGTGTGCGAAATATAAAACAAACTTTACCTCTATCATTGTCTACTGATTTACAGCTTTCTTTAAAATCTTTTAACAGGTTTAGAAGTGAAGGGAGAGTAAATTACATATTTCTTCTGAACTATCTTTTTAATTGTGGTTCCCTGAGTGATTTTACGATGTCAAACCAGCCTTTGGATTATAAGTTTGTAAAGTGAGTTTTACAAAACACTCCTAACAGTATGTTTGATTTACAGGCATTTAAAGACACTGGCAAGGCTCCCGTTGAAGCCGAGGTGGCCATTCACCGTATCAGGATCACTCTGACCAGCCGTAACGTCAAGTCTCTGGAAAAGGGTGTGTTTGTCCTTCATGTCTACTAAACCAATGGCTATGAGGATAAAATTGTATGAACGACTTAAACATGAGTTATATCATACGCTATTCTGAGCCCTTTTTTTTAATCAAGTTGGTCATTATGTCTGAATACGCCCTTCTTGACGTCCTTAAACTTTCCCTCTTTTTTTGGGGTAGTGTGTGCTGATTTGATCCGAGGTGCCAAGGAGAAGAGTCTTAAGGTGAAGGGGCCTGTGCGTATGCCTACCAAGGTGAATGCCAGTCTTTACATTTTTAGTTTAACAGGTTGCAATTTAAAAACTGTTTAAATATGCACATTTCTAAGATGCTTGTCAAATTAAGCCTGGCTTACACTCTGACTTAATATTCCTATACACTTGTGGCCCCTATGTTGCTAAGATCTGTTGTCAATGTCAGACTGTACATTAATCAAAATGCATGCAATAAGACTTTTCTAAGGATCACGTGTCCCATTATCCCACATCGTAAAACTCAGTTTCTGGAGGGCCCCAGCTCTGCACAGTTAAGTTCCAACTCTATTTAAACACACCTGATCAAGTTGAGTCCTTTAGGCTTGTATGAAATTAAAAGGTTAAACATTGGTCACACTAGAGTTTGAGCTTCTGAAATTCTGTCATATGGTGCTGTGAAAAGGGGTTGGATTAGACATTAAAAAAAGCAAGCGATTGGTCCATGTTTTAAATTCCTGTCCGCAAAGGTCATGTTTTGATCTTTGATTGGTCTCACGCAGTCAAGTGATGCGAAACTTTCATTTCCGGTCTGGCGCATTCATGTGCATATGAATGGAAGTTTATGGGGCGAAAAGTCTAGTGTGACCGCAGCTTAAGTGTGTTGGAGAAGGGTTGGAACTAAACTGTGCAGGACTGTGGCCCTCTAGGAACTGAGTTTGACACCCCTCCATTAACCTGTACCTAACTGCAAATGTAAAATCTTTAGCATTAATTTTGCTTGTTACATGTCATAAATTTAAGCTGCAATCATTGGCTTGAATGCATTTGGTTTTGTGTTAATAAGAGGAGAACGCTAAACGAAAGTGTTTATAGTTATGTGGAAATGTCAACTTAACAAAAATAATAAACATATTTAAGTCTAGGATTACAGGAATCTTTTAGGTTTCACAAAAACGGTCTCTGTCCAAAATATTGCCAAAATCACAGTGTGAGGTTTGTTTGCGTTTTATGATTGTCCTAAATCCTGTAATTTCTCATCCCCAAATCAGACCCTCCGCATCACTACTCGCAAGACTCCTTGTGGTGAAGGTTCCAAGACCTGGGACAGATTCCAGATGAGGATCCACAAGCGCCTCATCGATCTGCACAGTCCATCTGAGATCGTCAAGCAGATCACCAGCATCAGCATTGAGCCTGGTGTTGAGGTGGAGGTCACAATTGCAGATGCTTAATTGCTGTCTGCACAATTAATCAGCTTTGTATTTCACATCTGATTAATAAAATTGGAAGTTTTGGATCTCTGTCTGCCCTTTTTCTTTTCCCCACTCCAGATTGAATGTCACACTTATTTTTGTCATCTACTCCTTGACTATTTTTATGGAAAACGATGTAAATCTGAATTAATCTTTCAAATTGTAATTTAAAGTTGATACCAATATTGCAATTGTTTAAAGCCTGATGTCCAGAAAAAAAAAGATTTTTCTTAAATGTAGTCAACATTTGAAGTGGACTGAAAGTTGTCCCAAGACAAAACTGGGTCTTCTGTTCTTTTAGGGCAACTGTGATCATTTTTTTCTGATATGCTGATTAATGTAGTTCTGAACATGCATGTCAGTCAATTTGAAATACTCTTAAAAATTAGCAGATTAGCATGAACATGCTTATTATTGTAGATCTGAGAAAATTAATAATGTTTCAGTTTACATCTATAAAATGTGTATGTAAGCAATATTAACAGTTGTTTTGCACAAACGGGTATAAGGCTAATTCATGTGGATTAATGTAAGCACGGGACATTAATTATATTTGCAGTCTCAATATTTGATCAAATATTTTATATGTACTTTGATTAAAAATGCAAAGCTCATATGCGGGAGAAAAAAAAAAGTGAAGATAGCATGGGTACCTCAAGCCCTTAAAACATTAACTTCACTCGCTACTCTTAGGCTTAGTCCGTGATTTAGTAGGGGTAGCCACAACAGAATAAATCATCAATTACTCAGGCAAATATTTTCTTTGTGGTTAATGCTTTTCCAACCATGGTGACTTCAGTGATTTTTTTTATTATATAATTGAAATGTTACATAAATATGATTATACAACTAAAACATTTGTGTTGCAAGTGATTTGTTTTTGTTTCAAGCGTAATAGAAAAGCCCTTTCAGGTAAAAAAAAAAAAAACAAAACGCTCCTGCAACTATTGATCGCAAAAGTGTGTTTAAATGCACATCATAAAAGATGTCGCAGGTGTGTAGGATACTACTTAAGGAAATGATTGTAAACAGGTGTGCCAAATTCGTTTCAGGTAAGACCTTATCTTGCCTGTGTTCGTCAAGCTATTTTTGAACATTGACGTCTCAAAAATGTGTTCACATGTTTATTTTTCCTTGTCACTTTAGTTTGCCGTGTGTATCCATCTAAAACATTGACACATATAAAAGGTTTTGTTAGCAAAACTGAATTCATTGTTTTAAGAAAACAGCCAGCACTGGGATAATCATGGCAACTGTTGTTGACATGACCGAAGATACAGTGTTAGTGGCTATGGAGTCGACTGCTTGTGAACCTCATCATGTAGCTCTGCCAGAACTCTCTGGAGTGTCTTCCATAACTTCACAGGTCAAAGTCTACAGATGTTAATCTGTTTCACTAATAACTTTTTTTTTAAAAAGTCTTATTAACAACATACAATTATATTATGACCACTGTATAGCGATTTAGATTAATTTTATTGGCGTGTGTGTGTAGAGTGAGAATGCTGAAATCCATGAACAGCAGCAACTTCGAGTTTACTTGAAAGTGCGTCCTTTCAGTGTTGAGGAGCTAAAAAATAATGAAGATCAGGTATTGTAGAACTTGATTTCATAGAAATGTTGTTTTTTGCCTTTTGGAAGTGTAAAAGTTTTGATCTTCTGTCCTTTTCAGGGCTGTGTTGTATTGGAAGACTCCGAGACCATCGTTCTTCATGCTCCTAAAGGATCTGCCTCAATGAAAAGCAGTGAGAAGGGAATTGGTCAACAGGTCTATAAATTTAGCTTCTCACAGGTAAAGTTTTATAAAGGTATTAATCTTTGAATTGGTCCTTCAATTGCTTTATTGTAATTGAGGTAAAGTTAGTTTTATATTCGCACGTTCCTTCATTTAATGTTTTCTATATTTTCTGCTACGCTAATTTAAATGTAGGGTCTGAAATAACATGCAAGTATGACTTGAAAACAACATTAGCACTATTTAATTGGCCGTGAACAATGTTGTACTTTGGTATTCATTGGCTGCTAATATGATTTTACTGTTTAGAATTGGCAAATAATACTTTTCTGAAATTATATTATTAATGAAAAGTCTAAATGTGCAAATATAAAACCAACTTTACCTCAGTCTTATTGTATACCAATTTTTGTAATGAAATGCAGATCTTTGGGCCAAACTGTAATCAGACCGAGTTCTTTGAAGGCACAATTAGTTCACAGGTTCAGGCCTTTCTTCATGGCAAAAATGCATTAGTGTTCAGTTATGGAGTGACCAATGCTGGAAAAACATACACAATACAAGGTAAACATGGACATCCACAAAATTTGCTATTTTGGGGAAATGTTCCATTGCATAATTATACATGAGATGGTTTGTTTTAAGGTTCTCCGAAAGACCCAGGCATTTTGCCACGTGCTTTAGAGGTTCTGTTCAAGCACATTGGTGGCCGTCAGTATGAGCACATGGACCTTAAGCCATACTTGAGCTCTGATGTGCAAAAACTGGACTCTGAGCTGGTCAAGCTAGAGAGGAATGCCAAGGCTGCACTCTTCAGTTTGCTTAAAGAGGTTTGCAATCACTCTTAAAATTTCTTAAATGGGGGAGTTTACTAATGTCTGCACTGTCACTAATTAATTTAAGAGTGGACTACTGTGTGTTTACATGACAATGTACTAAAAACAGTACGATTTTGTCTTTTTGAATGTGTCAGTACACACAATTCTGTGAAAACTTCTACAGATGCCAGTGTTGGAATAGCTAGCTACAAGTATAATTTTTAATAGCTTGACCGCAGCTCAGCAACTTCTGATATAGTTTAGCTTTTCCACTTTTTACAATAAGCAGAGCTACATTCCATTTTGTGAATCTACAATCTTGAAGAAACATAGCATTTTATCTACACTGATGTATTGTAGTCTCATATTAATACATTGCACATCTCATGGTTTTACACATTACTTTTAATTTGTAAATATTTTAATTAAAAACAGTTAAAATTCAATCCATAGTGTACTATAACAGTTGGCAATTATCCTGTCTTGAAGAAAGTGTTGTGCCAGGGCTTCAATAAATTAACAAAACGGAGTAAGCCTTTTGTGCGCATTTGTAGTTTTCAGTATAATTGCTTATTGTATACAAAATTTAACTAATTGTTTGTCCTTTTTCTTTTAGGATCCCGAACCCACAAAACTTAGAAAGAGAAGCTCGACATCCTCAATCAATAGTTTGTCATTTTCCAACGTTTCATATGACCATACAGGTATTAAAACATTCTGATCAATAGATGGTTTGCATAACTGTTGTATAAGCTTTTAACCAATGTCTTCCAGTTGACAGTGCTGATGGCATGGCTGATGAAGCACATTGTTTTTACTCTGTTTGGGTGGCGTTTTATGAAATCTACAATGAGCATGTGTATGACCTGCTTCAGCCAGCCCAGTCCAGCAAAACCAAACGACGTGCTGCACTGAGGGTTTGTGAGGACAGTACAGGGAGCTCATACATTAGAGGTGAAGCCCTTTCACTCTTGAAGAAGCAAAGCAAATGTTTGAATGCACTTTTAAATTATGTTTGTTACTTTTGGAAGATTTAAGGTGGGTTAATGTGCAGAATACAGAGGAGTTCAGTAAGGTTCTGCGTGTGGGCAATAAGAATCGGAGTGCAGCAGCGACCAAGATGAACCAGTCATCCAGCAGAAGGTAGACTTCCCTATCTGCTAGTTTGATTCTTGATCTGGTTTGCAAATCTAAAGAAGGTTTTTACATGACAAACATTTAGTACATGATTAACCTTTTAGTTTTTTTTTTTTTTTTTTTTTGCAGTCACAGTATCTTCACCATCAAACTGATACGCATTGAAGGAGCAGACGTTCAAGCATTGTCAGAGTAAGTGGAAAGAGCGCATTATTTGTAACGCATGTAGTTTTGTAAGTGTAACATGTTTCTCTTCTCGTGTAGACTTTCTCTTTGTGATTTGGCTGGCTCTGAAAGATGCAACAAAACTAAAACCTTTGGAGATCGACTAAAAGAAGCTGGTAACATAAACAATTCTTTGTTGATTCTGGGCAAGTGTATTGCAGCACTCCGGAATAACCAAGGTTTCAGGTATGGGCAAATACCAAATGGAACCGAAAAAAAAAAAGCAGGTTTATATGTGCTGACTTCGTGTTCGTTTCTCAGGACAAAGAGTTATGTTCCATTTCGAGAGAGCAAACTGACACGGCTCTTTCAAGGAATGTTTTGTGGCCGTGGCAGGGCTTCCATGATTGTGAACATTAATCAGTGTGCCTCAACATATGATGAGACCCTCCATGTGATGAAGTTTTCTGCAGTTGCCAAGCAGGTTTGCTTTTTTTTTTTTTTTTTCATTTTTATACCCCCTCTTGACATTTGTTTTAACTTAAAAGTGGTGTGCACATACTAATTAGTTAACTCTACATTTGATGACCTTTTGTACCACATGCACTTGTACACTACCTGAGAAGCCTTGTCAATCCCAGTTGTAAGAGCAACAAATAATGACTAGACTTCTAGTTGATCATTTGGGAAAAGTACTGCATCCGAATCTTCACAAATACTGCAGAAGACCTGGTGGAACCTGCATGGGCCCAAGATTCTTACAGAAATCAGTCAAGTTTGGTGAGGGGAAATATCATGGTTTGGGTTTACATTCAGTATGGGGGGATCTGCCGAGTGGATGGCAACATCAACAGCCTGAGGTATAGACATTTTTGCTGCCCATTACATTACAAACCACAGCAGAGGACAAATTCTTCAGCAGGATAGCGCTCCTTTTACTTAACCCTCCACATCAAAGTTCCAGAAAGCAAAGGTCGTCAAGGTGACCCAGGATTGTCCAGTCACTAAACATAAACATTGAGCATGTCTAGGGTAAGATGGAGCAGGCATTGAAAATGAGTCTTGATGAACTCTGGCAGTCCTGCAAGAATGCTTTCTTTGTCATTGCAGAAAAAATTAAGTGATTTGAATCATTGCAAAGATGTATGGATGCAGTCCTGCAAGCTCATTGGAGTCAAACATGATATTT